GAGATCCCCTGGGATGATGTTAATGCCACTCCCTTTGGTGCAGGAGTTCCTGAGCCCTGAGCAGCGGCGATTTGCTGTCCGGGGAGTTCCTACCTTGCTGGAGGTCTCAGGATTCTCCTATTTCTATGGTGCCTTCATGGTGGGGCCTCAGTTCTCCATGACAGACTATCAGAAACTGGCAAGGGGAGAGATGACTGACGTTCAAGGCCAGAGACCCAATAGGTAATAAAAAGCCGCTTAGCTCCTCGCCTTCCTAAGATCCCAGAATGCTGAATCCTCCACATGTTCCCTGCAGCAGAGCACCTTCTTACCTGGACCCTAAAGTAAAAATCATAGAATGGTTTGGGTTGGAAGGGACCTTAAAGATCATCCAGTTCCAACCCCCCTGCCATGGGCAGGGACACCTCCCACCAGACCAGGTTGCTCAAAGCCTGTCCTCATAGGAGAGGTGCTCCAGCCCTCTGATCATCTTCATGGCCCTCCTCTGGACTTACTTAATCATGGCTATGTCCCTCTTGTGCGGAGGACTCCAAAATTGGATGCAGTACATCCTGAGCCTCCCACAGGGACAGCAGAGCTCTTGTCTCCACCATGGCACTGTGCTGCTCTGAAAACCCAGGAAGGACAATCTCAAGATATGGACTTCTCTCAGCCACCTCTATTGACAGGGGATGACCAGTCTTTTGAATCCTGTGCTGCCATTGTGCAAAACAGTGTGTCTCTGCCACCAGCAGCGCCTCAGAAGAAGGTCAGTGTCAATGCGCACTTGGTCACTCCAACAAAGGACCATCAGTGGTTCCTCTGGACCCAGCAATAGTGACCAAAAGTGATTTATAAGACAAGGCAGTCTCAAAAGTTGGTTATAACCAGTTGCTCTGGTTAATGTCCTAGCATTGTTCCAGGGCACGAACGTCAACAACCATTTGCCATCTTTAGCACAGACTCGGTCCCAACCTGGCAATGTCAGCATCCCAGCTTCCAAACAGAGGCATCTGCTGCAGTGGAACATGGTGGTGGCTCCCTATCGCTATCTCCCCTACCTCCTCTTCTCCACTTCTGTTTTTAAAATTATGAGTTTGGCCGTGTCTTTCCAAGGCTTTTCTTTGACCTCCATATTTTTCTTTCTCAGTTTTGTGCCTGCTCTCAAGCGCCTGAGTTTGGGTCTCTTGTTTCTAGTGACCTATACCTTCTCCAGCCTGTACATCTCTGATGAATACCTCATCTCGGATGATTATATGGTACGTATTCATTTGACAGTTCTCGGGTGTGGAAGAATTCCACTTCTCTGGAGGGCACTGGATTTGCAAGAGTGGATTATTTTTTATTTTTTTTTCAGTTTTGCCTCAATTTAAAAAAAAAAAAGATAAGTCAGCAACTAGTGATAAGCCTTTCCAGAACTGCCTGTCCTGTGGATTCCGTTTGATGCAGGGCAGGAATGCGTTAAGCTGAATTGATCCAAATGAAAACTTTTACAAATAGAGAATTAATCTTAGAAGCTATTGTTGGTTTTGGAAACCTAACAGATGTATATTGTGACCTTTTAATGACCTTCTGTTTAACCATTACATGCGAAGAACTAGAGTAACTTGCAAGGCTTGCCAGGATCTTTGGGGTTCTTAGAAAACTCTTAGCAAGTAACTCCTACCTGCAGATTATCAATGTTTCTGTGCCACTATTAATAAATGAGGGTGTAACTTTCACAATGGTTATGCTAATCCCCAGGGTCTTCCCAAAGTACCTATTTCAGCGTAGCCAAATATTTTGATATGATGTGTAAATTTGCATAAGCCAATAGCCTGGCACTCCAGTCCACGTAGGAGTCTCAACACAGACATCAGATTAAAATGAAAGACAGTGATGAGATCTCATCTACCTTGTCTCATTATTGCCACTCAACTCTGGTTTTTTAATTTTTATTGTATTTCACTCTTATCTCTGCAGAAGAAGCCCTTCTGGTTCCGCTGTGGTTACATATTGATCTGGGGGAAAATTATACTCTACAAATACGTAACCTGCTGGCTCGTTACGGTGAGTCTACGTGTAGTTCCAGAAACCAAAGGCACATGAACAAAGGTAGCAGCATTGCAGCTACTTAGCATGTTCTTGGACTTGGTGCCAAATGGAAATAATCCAAATTTCTGGAAATCAATGCAGGTCAGTTGAGCTTGCTTTAAGATAGCAAAGTCTAGCTAGCTAAAAAGAAGGCAGTTTTCAATCCATTTGTTCCACCTGCAGTGGTTCTTTCCGCTCAACACGGCGAGAGTCAGAGCTTCCCAAGCTCTGCCTTTCCCCCCAAAAAAACCTAAGAGGGCAATGTTTTCCTCTCATCTTTCTTGTGAATCTTTTCCCCTAGGAAGGTGTCTGCATCCTTGTTGGTCTGGGGTACAATGGGAAGGACGAGAATGGAAAGCCCTTGTGGGATGCCTGTGCCAACATGAAGGTCTGGCTGTACGAGACAACACCTTTGTTCACAGGGACCATTGCTTCTTTCAACATCAACACCAATGCTTGGGTGGCCCGGTGAGCAGGACAAAATTCCCCTTCTGTCGCGCGTCAGTAACGTCCGTGGTGTCGGCAGAACCGAGATCCTGGGCTGAGAGGGAGCAGGGGAGGAACAATCTGCCAGTTCTCAGTTCTTACACTCTTTCTTTCTCTCGTGTTTCGCTGCTGTCCCATCTGAAACAGGTCACTGGGTCAGACAGATCTTTTAGTTCAATCTAAAAGGGCAATTCATTAATACAGGCAAGAAGCTGATGGCAGCAGGAGGGCAGGGGCTAGAAGGGGACTCAGAGGGAGCCCTTCGGCCTGCCTGCTCAAACAGATGCAGAACTGCTCCATCAGCTTTGGTCCCTGTGTCACCCCTCTTGATGCTCCTTCTGCAATGACCCAACCAGGTTTTGGTTCAGCACTTGCTGGGACACACAACTGAATTGTAAAATCCCTTGGTTGCTGGATGAGCCACTTCTCCCCGTTAGCTGGGATTTCTTTAAGACAAGGGCTGAGGTCCCTGGTAAAGGGGAGCTGTCTCGCTGCTTCTGTCACCACAGGGGTGTCACCACCATCTGCAAAGGCATATGGTCCCCGCGCCTCTGACACGGAGAGGGGAGGACAGACAAATAAACCAGAAGCACTTAGTTTGTTTCTTTTCTGCTCTAGCTACATCTTCAAGCGTCTGAAGTTCCTGGGTAACAAACTGCTGTCACAGGCACTGGCCCTGTTCTTCCTGGCCATTTGGCACGGGCTGCACTCTGGCTACCTGGTGTGCTTTCAGATGGAGTTGCTTATAGTCATCGTTGAAAGACAGGTGCGCTTTGTCTGACTTAACCAGGAGTGGGGTGGCCGGCGTTTCCCCACAAGTCTGGAAACAGCTACGCTGCAGGCTTTGCTCAGATTAAATACCAAAAAATAGCTGCTCAGCTTTGGAATTGGTGCTCAAACATGATACCATTCTGTTCTCGAGAGTCCAGTAGGTTGCTTGGCTTCTGCATGGGCAAGCCTTAAATTTACTGCAGAGGCTGACGGGAAGAAAAGTGGAGAACTTGGCATATGAGCAGAGGGCAACTGAAGTGCTTGGCAACTGGAAAGGCCCGGAGGCCAAGCACATGAGCTGAATGCCTCTGCTCAGTCTCCCAGTACTGACAGAACAATGTTCCATATTTAAACTTATTTTTCTTAATTAAAGCATTGAGCAGGATGGGGCACTTAACTAATTTTTTAGGCTAACTGCTTACTAAAATTCATTTTATGCAGCTGGATAGATGCTTTGGCCCCAGAGCCTGCGTATATTGCCAGAGGACAACCAACTGAGGAGAATTCTGTTGTTTTGTTTTTTCTTTTAAATTAGGTCATCAACCTTGTTCGGGATAGTCCTCCCCTGAACACTTTGGCCTCCATCACTGTCTTGCAGCCCATCTTCTATGTGCTGCAGCAGGCTATCCACTGGATGTTCATGGGTTACTCTCTGGTGCCATTTTGCCTTTTCACCTGGGACAAATGGATGAAGGTATTTAGTGGCCACAACCAGCCAACCCACATGCCACCAACCCTGTCCCCTCCATCCTGTTCTCAGATGTTCTTGGCTCAAAGCTGCTCGCTGATCCCTAACCCTGTGCTTCTCTTTACAGGTGTACAGGTCTGTTTATTTCCTCGGCCACGTGTTGTTCTTCACCTTATTATTCGTGTTGCCTTACATTCGCAGATTAATTGTGCCACGAAAAGAAAAGCTAAAAAAAGCAGAATAAGAGCCAAAAGGTAAGGCTGTACTCTCTCCACGTGGAGAGAGTCCCACAGTGGGACTAGGAGGTGAAGTGGGGGCAGCAACGTTACATCTGGAGGGGAAAGGCAAACCTGAAAACCAACCCAAACCCAACTCTAGCACTTTTCTCTTTTTCAGATTGTACCACCTGTGCATTTGTAGGAGTCGATTTAACACTCCGGAAGCAAAGCATCACCTGCCAAGTTTGCTGTGTTGAAGTATGACTTTTTTTTCAACGCGAGGAGGGGGGAAAAAAAGAGAAAAAGCCCCAGGGTCCGAGACCCGAAGGGAGGGGAAGGGAGGAAGCCTCCTTCCCGAGCCTCCACCTTCTGTATGTTGCCTTATCTCTCTGCCGCCCTCCAGTGGACACTCTTGTCTCTGCCGATATCAGACGATTGTATAAAAAAAAAACAAAAACAAACAAACAAACTCAAACGCAGGCACTGTATTGGATTGGAGCCACCTTCTGACTTTTCTACGTTTGTCATCCAAGATAAAAATTGCTCCTGGTCTTTTTTCATATCGGCTTCAGCTCCTTTCCTCTTGCGTGGTGCCTTGGTGTGGGAGCGTGAACTCGTCCCACGCCACCCAGCGAGGTGATTTCCACAGGATTAACTTCAGCTGCGGGGCGAGCGGGGCACAGCCAACAATTTCGGTTCCGTGACAAATTTGGGCTGAGTCCCTGCTATAAAGGGATCAAGCCTGCCCACGTGTTAAACACGAGAAAGTAAAAATACACAAGCACTCTTACCAAAAATGACCTTTAATAGGAGGAAAAAAAGGTCAGTTGGGCAGTTCGTGTAAAGTCTCATTGCTCCGGAGGCTACAAGGATGAAATGGAAGCCTTTTCCCTTCCAGGAGCCCAAAGTCCTCTAGGTCCACACCTCAGTAAAAGAGCCTCTCCAGAATGTGGGGTGACTGTACAGGAGTCCACCGTGACAGCAGTAGCAGCAGAAGCTCATACCACTCCCCAAACTTCCTCAAAGGCAGTAGTAATTTTAGCACACGTCAGGGCAGCAGAAAGGGGATAGTTGCTGATGGAGACCATCTTTTCAGTATAGTCAACATTGACCTAGGGGAAGAGAAGGAAAAAAAATAAATTCAAGCTGCAAGTTTTCACTTAGGCCCACCTATACCCGTTGGTTTCTCCAAAGTTGAACAATAAAATAAGAAGATAATTGCTACCCCTCACTAGTGCCCTCTCTCAAGAGGGAGAAAAGTCCCAAGCATGGCAGCGTTGGGCTTTTTTTCTGACAAGCCTGCACAGGAGGTGGAAAAAAAGGAGGGGTGGGACAGGGGGGACCAAGAAGAAAAAAAAAAAAAAACCAAACAAAAAACCCCACACCCACACTCAGAACAAGGCTGAAATCTAGGCTGATAAAGATTTTTACAACTCTAAGTAAGGGATACTTGCACTTACCGAGCCATGGGCAAAAGCTCCCACAACAATAGCAACTGGCTCCGCTGCAGGAACCAGTTTACGCAGATCCGACACCTTTGGAACTGAAAAAGAGGTACCTATCTTCAGGCAGCCCACGGGGAGGTGGTCACTCACTGGATTTTTAATCACCTACAGAAAGCAGAAAGTTAGGAGGGGCATAGAGGTAAAAGGCCTTACCACAAAGCTAATCTATGATTTGTACAAAAATAAAAAATAATTTAAAAAAATCACTCCTACATCACTAGCAGCAAAGGAGGAACGTTGCAACGTTACTTGTGACCAGCCAAAGAATGCTTACCTTCAACAATTTCTGAGGCCCATCAGCTGCTCGAACGCTGAGCTTATGCAGCAACTGAACTGGCAAGAGAAGAAAATCAGTTAGGTTGTCTGTTCTTGTGCCACAGCAACGCTATCCTCTACCTGTTGATCTGAAAGCAGACAAAATATCCATCTCTAGAGTTCCCAGCATCTTCTAAAGCAGCCCTAAGAAATACTGATCAGATTGCTACTACCACAGTCTCATGGTGGCACTCTCCACTATGCTAAGGAACACGTAGTTGACCTAGGCATCCTAAGGCTTGCAAAAAGACACTTTCATTTCCCTATTCTTTTCTCACTCTCACATTTTTCAGGTGGGTGAAACTTTTTGGCTCTTCCCAAAATTCCTTCTCTCCTAACCACCCTCCTGCGTTATTTTGTGGCCAGTATGAAGGTTGAATCACTTACCCATAAGACCACAGAACCGATCAAAAGTTCTTGGAATTCTGGTTTGGGGATTGACTTCAATTAGAACGTTCTTCTGGGTATGGATATAAACCTGCAGGAGACCAGCCCGATTCAGTGGGCTGTCCATGAGCATCAGGAGACTCTGAAATAGGAAAACACACAGTAGGGGAAATAGAAAAGGCACAAGAGAGGGGGTTCTTGGAAAACTTGAGGGCAAGGCCCCATGAATGCAGAAGACATCGATGGTGAAGCAGAAAAGTGTTCATCTGGCCGTGTGAGCTCTACTGTAAAGCTGAAAGAAAGCAGTCCTGTGTGCACATAAAGAGGATTACTAACAAACTACGCACACAATGGGTAAGGCCAGACTCAACCCCATTTCAGGAGCACACAGCAAACCCCCAGCCCTGAGGGACAACCTCCCCCCAAGCCGCCGGCCACACACGCCGCCCGGACCCGGCCAGTACCTGGTGGGTGATGTCGGGCCGCACCTCCCCGGGGTCCCGGCCGTTCCGCAGCAGCAGCCCCTTGTGCTTATCGCAGTTGAGGAGCTCGAACGTCTTCCCCACCTACGGCCAAAGCACGGATATGGTGAGCATGGGCGCCCGCGGCCGCCTCCGGCTCAGCCCACGACTCAACCCCATTTCAGGAGCACACAGCAAACCCCCAGACCTGAGGGACAACCTCCCCCCAAGCCGCCGGCCACACACGCCGCCCGGACCCGGCCAGTACCTGGTGGGTGATGTCGGGCCGCACCTCCCCGGGGTCCCGGCCGTTCCGCAGCAGCAGCCCCTTGTGCTTATCGCAGTTGAGGAGCTCGAACGTCTTCCCCACCTACGGCCAAAGCACGGATATGGTGAGCATGGGCGCCCGCGGCCGCCTCCGGCTCAGCCCAACCCGACCCGACCCCCTGTACCTTCACAGTCTCCAGACTCGCCCCCTCCAGCACCACCAAGAGCCGCCGCTGCCCACGGGGCCGCTTTGCCTCCAGCGAAACATCTTCAGCCTCCTCCTTCTCCTCCTCTTCCTCACGAGGCCGCCTGGGCGCCGCCATTTTGCGAGCACCGCCCCTGCCCCGCCCCTTGCCCGCCCCCGGCCCGCCAACACCACCCAAGATGGCGGCCGGGACGCGCCCGTTATCTCCCTCCGGTCGGAACCACTTCCGGAGGACAGGGCGGCCGGAAGGCGGCGGCGGCCGCGGCGGGGCGGGAAGGGGCGGTTTCCCGGCCGGAGCGCTTGGTCCGGCGGCACCTTCCGGTGTCCTTCCCGGCGGCGCGGCGCGGCCATGGCGCAGAACCTGAAGGACCTGGCGGGGCGGCTGCCGGCCGGGCCGCGGGGCGTCGGCACCGCCCTCAAGCTGCTGCTGGGCGCCGGCGCCCTGGCCTACGGCGTCCGTGAGTCCGTCTTCATCGGTGAGCGCGCGTCCCCCTCACCCCCTCAGCCTCGCTTCTCCCGCACCCCCCTCCTCTGCCTCCCGCCCTGACCCTGCTCCTTCTCCCCGCAGTGGAAGGCGGCCAGCGGGCCATCTTCTTCAACCGCATCGGCGGCGTCCAGCAGGACACCATCCTCGCCGAGGGGCTGCACTTCAGGTAAGGCCCGGTTCCCCCGGCCCGCCCTGCTCTCTCCCGGTCTCCCCGCGTTAGTAACGGGCCGTCCCGCCCTTTGGCAGGATCCCCTGGTTCCAGTACCCCATCATCTACGACATCCGAGCCCGGCCAAGGAAAATCTCCTCCCCCACCGGTTCCAAAGGTGAGAGCGGCCCCGCGGGGCGGGAGCTTGAGGCCCAGGCCGTGCCTGTGGGGCAGGTGGGAGGGAAGGAGGGACAGGAGTCTGGCTGGAGGGCTGGCCCCGCTCATAATTTCTCTTCTCCTCTTCAGATTTGCAGATGGTGAACATTTCCCTGCGTGTTCTCACCCGCCCCAATGCTGCAGAGCTGCCCAGCATGTACCAGCGCCTGGGCCTGGACTACGAGGAGAGAGTCCTGCCTTCCATCGTTAACGAAGTGCTCAAGAGCGTGGTAGCCAAGTTCAACGCTTCCCAGCTCATCACTCAGAGAGCCCAGGTGAATTCTGCTGGAAGAGAATCACACTCGGGTTGGAAAGAAACAATTAAATTGTGCATGTGGGGAATGTTAGATCGTAGAATGGTTTGGGTTGGAAGGGACCTCAAAGATCATCGAGTTCCAACCCCCTGCCATGGGCAGGGTCACCTCCCACCAGACCAGGTTGCTCAAAGCCCCATCCAGCCTGGCCTTGAACCCCTCCAGGGATGGGGCATCCACAGCTTCCCTGGGCAACCTGTTCCAGTGTCTCACCACCCTCATAGTAAAAAATTTCTTCCTGAGATCTAATCTGAATCTTTTTTCTTCCAATTTAAAACCGTTTCCCCTTGTCCTATCATTACCCTTCCTGGCAAAGAGTCCCTCCCCAGCTCTTCTATAGGCACCCTTCAGGTATTGAAAGGCCGCTATAAGGTCTCCCCAGAGCCTTCTCTTCTCCAGGCTGAACAATCCCAGCTCCCTCAGCCTGTCTTCATAGGAGAGGTGCTCCATCCCTCTGATCATCTTTGTGGCCCTCAGCTGGGCCTGCTCCAGCTGGTCCATGTCCTTTCTGTGTTGAGATAACACAGATAAAGATAAATATCCTAGGCTGGTAGATCATGCATCCAAACAGAAAGGGCATGGAACTGTATCCCACTTAGAGTTTGATCTCGATACAGGTACAAACACTAAGGCTGTAACACTAGGTTCTGAGAAGATGACTGGATGTGTTGGTGTATAGAGTGCAAAATTGCACCATAACGTAATGATGGGGGAGGAGGAGCTAATTTGCAACATAGTAACAGTACAACTGCTTTGAAAAAATGATTTCTTGGCCCTTTATGGTTCTCAGAAGAGCTGTCAGAGCAAATTTAAGCAGTTTTAAAGGATCTGAAAAGCAAAGTGGTTGATAACAAAGCAGTACACTTTCAGTAATGCGTGCTACAGAAGGGTACAAATATTTGTCTTTAGAAGGAGGCTAGAGGGCAATATGGAGGGCTTGCAAAACAGTAGAAATATTTAGCTCTAAAAAAACTGTGCCTGAAAGCTTGTGTTCTGATAATGTGTTTGCTGGGGATTCTGAGAGCATCAGTTACTTGTCACAGCTTGAGGGAGAGAGAAAGTGCTGATATTTTTTTAAAAGATCCTGCATGAGACTGCTAAAGAGGATAAGTTGTCAGAAAGATGAAATACAAAGCGTCTCTTAACCAGTTTCTGATCCGTGACCAAAGAGCAAAGAGTAGAACTAAGTGTCCAGGTCTTGTGAGAGGTGACCCAGAAATAGCAACTTCAGGGTTTTGCGCTGGGCCACGTAGTGTGTACGGGGGGGATTTGTTAATGATCTGGTGTGAAGAGAAAGGGGAAAGGGAGGCTGTGACAGCGAAGAAACAACATCTGCAAGGGATTTAGGTTTATTGGACGCAAAGAGTGACTCTTGGGTATCTCTGAACAAACTGAATTGAATTTGTTTTCTTGCTGTCTGTTCATTACTGTAAAGTGATGCGTATTGAAGCGGTTGATAATCACAGGAAAATGAAGTGACTTTGCACAGTTAGGTGCTTGCAGCTCACCCAGTAAAGGATTAAAATTCTGCGCAGAAACAGCTGCAATAAAAACAAAAGCAAATGCTAGACTGGTCAAGAATGCGACACTGTAGCAGTAATTTCTATTTAAGTCAATATTTGATGCAGGACTTGTCAGCCTGCCTGAAAAAGATACTGGCAAGTTAAAGGCAACTCAGGAACAAGTAGAATTTAAAAAAAAAAGTCCCGACAACAGTCATCCAAAGAGACTGACAAAACACAGAGTAACTACAGCAGTTGAGAGATGTGGTATGTCTACAGTGTGCAGCAGGGCAGAGTGGTAATTTTTATTTTCTTAATCTGAGTACAAAGGTGAGGATACAGCCAGACTGCCAACAGCAGCAAATTCAAGGAAATACTTGATGCCAAAACACGTGTGAGAACTGTGGAACTGGATGTGATGGGATGTCAAAGAAAAAAAAACAACTTTAAAGAGGATTTTTATTTTTGTAAAATTAGTTGGATAGTTAAGTGCTAACTGTAAGTAAGCTGTAATTTACTTTTGAAAATGCCGTATGCAGCGTTATTTAGAGGTGACAGAGATGGTATTAATGTCCATGCTGTGAGGTTTGCTTTGGGTGATGTTTTTCCTGGGCCCAATGGGGATGAAGCCTGACGAGCAGTTGTGCTTCACTCTGGGGTGTGCAGGGAGTGAGACTCAGCCTGTGTCTGTTACTCCTTTTGCGATATTCGCGTTTCAGGTGTCTCTGCTCATTAGGAGAGAACTGACAGAACGAGCCAAGGATTTCAGCCTCATCCTGGACGACGTGGCTATCACAGAGCTGAGTTTCAGTCGGGAGTACACAGCAGCTGTGGAGGCAAAGCAAGTGGGTGAGTTCCATTTTATGCCTGGAAAAGAGTGGATTGCCTTTGCCTTTTTGTTGAGTTGTTAAACGAGGAAGCAGAATTTGGGCTCTTGCATGGTTGCATTGGGCTTTTGCATGGTTATGGCTACCCAGTTACACATCTCAGCCTCCTTAGTCATGGAACCAAGGAGGTTATTTCACAAAATATTTTGAGAAAGCCCACCAGTGGGACCGAGTTCTTAAGACTGTAGGGTTCCTCTTCATACCGGGGCTCTTACCACTTACTATGCAGATTATGTTGAGAGGGTCTGGATGCTGTTGATTTTATTTAAGAGAAAGGACGCTCAGATGCATTTCTTACTCGTGGGTATCACCCCAGAACGCTATCTGTTCTTTCTCAAGTGAAGCCCCCAGCCCTGGGCTGTAGGGTTCTGGTGGAGGGCTCAGAAGATGAGATCTGCTTCCAACACTTTTGTCCATTCTCTCTGCAGCCCAGCAGGAGGCACAGCGCGCACAGTTTCTGGTGGAGAAGGCCAAGCAGGAGCAGAAGCAGAAGATTGTTCAGGCTGAAGGGGAAGCTACAGCTGCCAAGATGATATCCTGCTTTGGGGGATTTTTGTGGGATGTATTGTGGGAGCTTGACAGGCCTGAGAATCTGTCACATTGGGTTCACGCTTAGGAGACTGTTGTCAGATGATAGTTTTAAGTAGATCACTGTCACTTATTTTTCCCCTCTACAGTTGGTTGGAGTGAGATTTGTCTGAGATTACAGCTCAGAGCAGAGAAGGCCATGAGCTCCCTATTGGAAGGGTTAACTTTTATTTGCTGTGTGTGACCATAATCCATAACGGTCGCTTCTTGAATCACAGAATCTTCTAGGTTGGAAGGGACCTTAAAGATCATCTTGTCCAACCGTCAACCTAACTGACAAAAATAGACACCCACACAACAAACAAGGAGCATCATCACTAAACCACACCTCCCAGCACTACATCAACCTGTCTTTTGAACACCTCCAGGGATGGTGCCTCAACCACCTCCCTGGGCAGCCCATTCCAATGCCTGATAACCCTTTCAGTGAAAAAAATTTTCTTAATATCCAGCCTGAACCTCCCCTGGCGCAACTTGAGGCCATTTCCTCTTGTCCTGTCGCCTGTGACGTCTGCTGCCAACGTTTTTGGCCGTTCTCTCTGCAGCCCAGCAGGAGGCACAGCGCGCACAGTTTCTGGTGGAGAAGGCCAAGCAGGAGCAGAAGCAGAAGATTGTTCAAGCTGAAGGGGAAGCTACAGCTGCCAAGATGATATCCTGCTTTGGGGGATTTTTGTGGGATGTATTGTGGGAGCTTGACAGGCCTGAGAATCTGTCACATTGGGTTCACGCTTAGGAGACTGTTGTCAGATGATAGTTTTAAGTAGATCACTGTCACTTATTTTTCCCCTCTACAGTTGGTTGGAGTGAGATTTGTCTGAGATTACAGCTCAGAGCAGAGAAGGCCATGAGCTCCCTATTGGAAGGGTTAACTTTTATTTGCTGTGTGTGACCATAATCCATAACGGTCGCTTCTTGAATCACAGAATCTTCTAGGTTGGAAGGGACCTTAAAGATCATCTTGTCCAACCGTCAACCTAACTGACAAAAATAGACACCCACACAACAAACAAGGAGCATCATCACTAAACCACACCTCCCAGCACTACATCAACCTGTCTTTTGAACACCTCCAGGGATGGTGCCTCAACCACCTCCCTGGGCAGCCCATTCCAATGCCTGATAACCCTTTCAGTGAAAAAAATTTTCCTAATATCCAGCCTGAACCTCCCCTGGCGCAACTTGAGGCCATTTCCTCTTGTCCTGTCGCCTGTGACTTGGGAGAAGAGACCAACCCCCACCTCTCTACACCCTCCTTTCAGGGAGTTGTAGAGAGCAATAAGGTCTCCCCTCAGCCTCCTCTTCTCCAGGCAAGACTTAGGGAGGTCAAAATATCCCTATAGAGATTACTTTTTCACCCTCAGGTGTTGTTTGATGATACGGCTTAGGAAGAATTCCTTGAGGATAGGTGGCTTCTGTTAGCGGGTTTTTCCTTAACTTTTGCTCCCCTGTACCTCGGTGAAGCTCTTAGCAGGAATCCAGGCTACATCAAGCTACGTAAGATCCGAGCTGCTCAGAACATCTCGAAAACGGTGAGCAACGGGGCACAGAATTTCCTTTGTTCCTTCTGCGGTCCTCGTGCTGTCCTCCCAGCCCAGTGGCCACATGATGAATTTAAGGCGAATGTGACCTGCCTTGTCCCGATCTTTGTTCCTGCCCAACCCTTCTCTGCTCAAATAGAGCTTCAGATCTAGCTTGCTGCCATCGGCAGTTGGGTGTGAGGCTAAGAGTTCATGCCTTCCATACGGCAAGGCCGGATCCACAGCAGATTCCATCACCCTCGCCCAGCTGCAGCCACCAAAAGCTCCTGGTTTCCTGCAGGCTGGGAGAAGGGGACAGCTAAGCCTGGGCTCAAAGGTCTGTCTGACAGGGAGACAGAATGAGCACTTCTTTTAGAAAGTCTGATGGCACTGGGGTAGGAAGTAAGGAAGCTACAGAGTTGTTTGGGGGAATTGCTTTGATTTAAGCGAGATCTTAAGTGCTTCTATCTGGTGGAAGTGATAGATTCTTTGTCAGTGCCGTTCTTCCACAGGCATTTATTCTCTTCTTTATGCCATCTCTGTGCTGGATTTCCCTTTCAGATTGCTGCCTCGCAAAACCGCGTGTATCTCACAGCGGATAACCTGGTACTGAACCTGCAGGACGAGGGATTCACCAGGTAAAGGGGCCAGGTGGCTGGTGGGGGTGGATTTATCTGCACCTGCTTGTGAAGCTGGTCCCCTTTCTGGAGCTCTCTCGGGATCTTTTCTCCAAGAGGAGCATGGTGCCAGAGGACACAGCCAAGCAGGGAGCTGTAGAAATGGAGATTTTTTTTTTGTTGAATCTAATCAATTTACTCTTGTTTTTTTTTTCCGCCAGAGGACACAGTCAAGTAGGGAGCTGTGGAAATGGAGATTTTTTTTTTTGTTGAATCTAATCAATTTACTCTTGTTTTTTTTTTCCTTTCCCCTCTCCCTTCACTGTATCTCCTGACACGCAGAGGAAGGTAAGGCACTGTTTATTTTGATCCTTTTGTTAGTACTTGGAACAAGGTGCCTGGGGTGTTTCTGGCTTGGGCCATGGGAAGTTTATTCCATCTCTACCTCAGTTTCCATTTGAAGCTTGAAGGTGTGAAGCTTGAAGCCGTTCCTTGCAGGGGCCACACAAACATCTGCATCAAGTAGGAGATACTCAGTAATTGGAGAGCTCTCTGTGGGCCCTACAAGGAACCTTGCATGGGGAAGGCAGGAGTAACAGGGGAGGGTCCTCTGCTCCGTCCTGTGTGTAGAGGACATCCTGCATTTGCAGCAGAGAAGGCTGTGAGAAGGCAGTTGGATTATTGTAGGAATTTGTGTTGCTTTGGGGTAACAATCTCTAGGAAAGATGCTCTTGCTACTCTCCAAAAGCTTTCCAGTCCGTGCTAGAAGACCCCATGCCCTGCTTTCAGATCTCTCTTTCTAGTCTCCAAAAGCTTTCCAGTCTGTGCTAGAAGACCCCATGCCCTGCTTTCAGAGCTGGCAGGAGTGGGGTGGCTTTGCCTCATCTGCCCGGTGTTTACTGGACAGGGCAGTGCTGGCTGAGCTGACAGCCTGCAGCTGAGAGCTTAGATTTCTTAGAATCACAAAAGGAAACCAGAGCTGGTTTCTTCTCTGTGGGATCTCGGTGAGATCCTTCTTCCTTACCTCCAACCAGATTCTGTCCTACTCATCCCAGAAGGTTTAAGGGTCTTTGAAAAAAGTACCGAGTAGGAAGGACTTGGAAGTCGAGGTCCTTTAGGTGTGACATCTCACTCCCCCGAGTCTGTAGTGAGGGTCTGGTTCAGCTTTGCTTGTGTTTTCTGCACTAACGACTCGTGTCTCCCTCCCTTTCAGTGACAGTCTCCTACTCAAGCAAGGGAAGAAATGAAAGAGGTTGAAGCCTCCTAGAAGGGCCGGCGCTGAGCAGCAGAAGCGATGAGTGAGGAGCTTGGAACTCCCTCCGCTAGCAATGGTTGCCCTCACTTTGAAGTTGTTACTCCAGTAGTAGCCAGATTTGGTCCCCATGCCCCTGCTCCATCCGTGGTGATCCAGTTATGGGATTGGGCTCTGCCACTAGGCAGCTGGAATCCCTTCCTCGCCCCACCAGTTCAATTTGGGGTGGGGGCAAGGGTGCTTACTGGTATTAACTCATGTGGATATAGTAATTCACCTCTAACCTTCATTAATCTCTAGATTTTTGTAGGGTAAAATCAGAATATTTGTTTGGCCAAGCTCGGGAGTTCTGCTGTCATCAGCACCAGGCTTTTGGGGTTTTTTTCTAGTAAATTTCATTTCTCTTTTACTCTTGATCCCAAGAGAAGCTGGGACTCAATTCAGGAAAACGTCATTCATTGGGTGCCTGTCACTGCTGGAATATGTGTCACTGTCTGCTCAGTGATTCTTTCGAACATTTGTAAGAATTAAAACCTCCAAAATTTATACTGCGTCCAAGCCTGCTCAGTGCTGGAAAAAAAAAAGGGGGCATTTTCCATAGGGGGAGGTGGGACAGAGCTTTTATTTGGTGGAAGGTAGAATTGGGATGTTGTGGGGAAAGGAAGGAGAAGAGATGTGGGTGCTCCTTTAGCTGTTAGGGGTGACCAGGCCAGTTCCTTAGTTGTCTATAGAAGCTCAGACTTCTCCTTAAGTGGGACTGAGGTCTTTATGCCATTAGCTCTAACCAGGTCCTAGTTTGGGATACTTGGGCTGTCTTTTTCTCTGAGTAGCAAATGTCCACAGCCTAAGCAGTATCTGTACCCGTAAATTAAGGACTCCCCAGCACGTTCTCTGGTGTCTAAGCCAGCCACCACAGAAGGGTTGAGGTCTGCACTCCTTCGTGGTGGCTTTAGCCAGAGTCTATCAGTGTTCTCCCATATGGTTCCTGAGTACAATTCACAGGCTGGGGCTTGGTGTTAACTGGCAAGGCTTTATAAACACCGTGCTGAGTCCCACTGTAACACCACCAAGGCTCGGCTCCAGCACCAAGGAATGCTCACTGTCGCTCACAGAACCATACAAATAGTGGTGGGAAGGGATGTGTGGAGGTCTTTAGTCCAGGTGAGATCTGTGACTTTGCCGTGTCAGATCTTTGTGACACAAAGCTGGGGCTTTGTCCATGCCAGTATTGAAAACCTGCAAGGACAGAGCTCCCCCGCTGAGTGTCTGTTTGAATGCTGGCTGATGGAAGCAGTCTTAGATGTTCCACCTCAACCTCCCAAACTACGATGTGGGACCAGTGCCTCTGGTTTTGTTATCTGCCACTGCCATCATCTTCTTGCCACCCCCTCGCTGCAGTTGTAGCCCTCAGTCTCCCCGTTACCAGACTAAACAATCCAGCTGCTTTAGTCCCTCCTTGTGCATGACTGATTGGTGTCTGCGAAGCCACAGCGTGGCCGTACTCCAGTAGACCTTCCCCATAAAGATGAAGTTTCATTTCTACCAAGTGATATCCAGGAAGGAGCACAGAATCATAGAATCGTCCAGGTTGGAAGAGACCCTTGGGATCATCGAGTCCAACCATCTACCCTACTCTACAAAGTCCTCCCCTACACCATGTCCCTTAGCACTGCATCTAAACGTCCCTTAAACACAGCCAGGGATGGTGCCTCCACCACCTCCCTGGGCAGCCTGTTCCAATGCCCTATCACGCTCTTGGTGGAAAATTCCTTCCTAATGTTCAGTCTAAACCTACCCTGTTGGAGCTTGAAGCTGTTCCCTCTCGTTCCTCCGTCCCCTTAGGCCTTACCCTCCAGCTCAGGCTGGATGACACCAAAACACAGATGAGACGGATGACAAAATGGCTGATGATTTGGAGGCACAAGGATGACGTCTCCAAATAGCAAAGTTTCAGTGCTAAACCCCACTTCCTGAGTTTGTCACAGCTAACTTTTTGTGCTCGCTTACCTGACGACTGCCAGCACTCGGGTGTCACAGTGAGAAGCCACCCTAACTGGTCACAGCTTCTCTTCAGGCGTCTGAAGGCTGCAGGGACTGATGAAAACTAAGCTAGAGCCATTCTTGTAAGTCTTCGCAGGGCTGCAAGCGAAGCCAGGAGTACAGCTGTACTCAAAAGAGAAATTATAGGAAAAAACCAAAATATTGGGACTCGGCCTTCAAACAAATACACGTTTATTTACAAACAAAGGAGAAAACATGGCCATCACATCAAATTCTGGTATATTTACAGCATCCAATCAAAAGGATCAAGTAGAAAAGGGGTCACAGGGCAGAGGGGTGGGGTAAGAAGGTTGAATTGCAGAGGAGCTGAGCTGAAATGGGCCAAAAACTCCAGACTTTAAAAGAAAAGGCTTCAGGGAACGCTAACAGGCTAAACTCTGAGCAGCGGGCAGAGCTGCAGCTCCTGTAAAGAGCTTCCTTTGCTCTTCCTCAAGAAGTCAGCTGGGGCTGAGGCAGCAGAGGGGTGTTTGGGCCTCAGTGCGCAGAGAGCAAGGGAAAGAAAGAAGGAAAGAAAGGAGGGTGTGATTTTTTCTTTTTTCCTGTTAAAGAATGACGAGGGGGCAGCAGGAGACTTCACTGGCCTGCAGAGGGATGGGACAGTGAAGTTGGTGAGCTGAGCTGGAAAGCAGTCTGATTCAGGGCACTGAAGGGTGGAGCAGAAGAGGAATGGAAGGCCTGGTTCCAGCCCAAGAGCAAGGAAGGTGAGACAAGGCCAGCCTGGAGGTGAGCTCCAGTCCTAAACCCCCAGGTTCAAAACCCCCAGGGGGCTGCCTGCTCATTTTTTTTTTACGCTTATTTTTTCTTTACTGAGCCTTTCAGCTTCTTCTCTGCGGAGTGCTGCTTCCGCACCTTCTCCTCCTTCCTCCCCAAGTTCTCATAAATGGTTGACTCCTGTTTCTGCCTGTAAAACCGGGGGGGGGAAAAAAAAAAAAAAAACACCAAGGGAAAAAGTGAGCAAGAGAGCAAGAGGAGAAAAAAAAAGGCAGCTGAGCCAGCAGGGAGGCATAGCTGGGCCTCGGGTTGAGGTGAGCTCTTACTTGGAGGACTTCCGTGAAACCTTGGCGTGCGCGTTCCTCACGGCGGGGGGGGAGGCGATGTTCCCGTACTCGGACTCGTTGGGCTTCCCTTTCTGAGACTGCAACAGAGAAAAACCAAGCTGGGAAGAAGTGTGGTCTGGGAGAAGCACCAAGGGTTCTGGCCGTTTAGCTGTGCCTCGTGCTAGGATCTGGGTGGATCCGGGTGGTGTCGCAGAGAGGAGCAAGGGGGGAGGCAGGTGTAGCCTTCTACAAGGGGTGACCAGCAGGACAACGGATTTCTAGAGGCACTGGAATGCCTGGGAGTGCCACGTGTCAGCTGAGGAATATTAAACGGATAGCAGCAGCAAGTGGAAGCTGCCAGAGGCTACAAGGAGAGAGAAAAGATTCCCCTTATCAGCCAGTAGGAGAAAAATCATTTCCAGAAGGGCTCGGGAGGCAACTGCAGAACCAGGATGGGAAAGATGAAGAGGAAAGGAGAGGGCAAGGTCATGGCCTGTCTTAGATTCAAGCTTGTAACAAAATAGCACATGATCTAGAACACAGCTGAAATAATTGCATTAGAACTTCCTGCTGTTTAGCAGTTCAGAAGAGGTTGAGCTGCCAATGTTGTCCCTTGAATTTTAAAGGGAGGAATAGGGACCCAAACCTTGGTGCACCATCGTAGTCTATGTAGGTCCCAGTGCCAGCTCTGAGCTTGGGAAACAGAGCACTTGGGCTCAGAGCCAGCACCGTGCAGGGTCTAAACTCACAGGACAGGAAAGTGGAGTCCCCTTCCTCACCTGGATAACCTCCAGCTTTCTCTTGGTCGTCTCTATGAACTGGCAGATGGCCATGTAGATGAACTTGTACTGGGCTTCCGTCTGCACCATCCCTGAGCGTTGGGCCCTCACCATCTGGATGGTCTTCTGGATGTCAATGTCACAGTCCAGCCCTAGCAAGGGGCACCAGAAAAGCTTATGGATGTGTCCACTGACCTCCCCTCTCCCAGTTCTCCACCAAAAGCAGTCACACTGGAGATCAATCAAGAAGTTTCCACCTCCCTCCACACTCTTTACTCCTGTATGGACCTCTTATCCCTCCTTCCTGCTCAGCATCTTCCAACTCTGGCCCTGGAGGAAGACCCCAAGCTCAGGGAAGGTTGAAGCCACAGTTAGTGGATATGGTGCAGAGATCCAGCAGCTGCCACACAGCAAGGACACCACAACCTTCTCAGGGCCGTGGCAGGATCTCTCCCCAGTGATACCTGATAGTTTTCATCCCTTTGCAGCTGGCCTTAAGGGCACAGCCCTACTGGGTAGGCAAATTCACTTCAAGACGCTCTGGGGGTCCTCTTACCCTTGGTGGAGATGGTTTCCACTATCATATCGATGACGATGATGGTCCCAGTGCGGCCAATCCCAGCACTGCAAGGAGAGGAGAAGCAGAGGTCAGAGCAATGAGGCCACAACTGGAATACTGCATCCAGTTCTGGGTTCCCCAGTTCAAGAGGGACAAAGAGCTGGAAAGAGTCCAGCGAAGGGCGACGAAGATGATTCAAGGGTTGGAGCATCTCCCTTATGAAGAAAGGCTAAGAAAGCTGGGACTCTTTGGTCTGGAGAAGAGAAGGCTGAGGGGAGACCTTATCAATGCCTGTAAGTACCTAAAGGGTGGTTTGAAGGAGAAGCCAGACTCTTTTCAGAGGTTGCCAGTGAGAGGACGAGTGGTAATGGGCATAAGTTGGAACACAGGAGGTTCCACTCAAAAATGAGAAAAAACTACTTCACAGTGAGGGTGCCAGAGCCCTGGGACAGGCTGCCCAGGGAGGTTGTGGAGTCCCCTTCTCTGGAGATTTTCAAGACCCGCCTGGATGCAGTCCTGAGTGACATGCTCTGACAAGCTCTGGGCAATCCTGCTTCAGCAGGGGAGTTGGACTAGATGATCTCTATGGTCCCTTCCAACTCTAAAAATTCAGTGAAATTCAGTGAAAATACAGCTCCTGAAACAAAACGCAGGCAGCAGCTGCTCAGCAACGCCACACAGAGGGTCGAGGATTCAGCAGGCAGCAGAGTTTGGTTTGGGGGCACCAAAGAGGAAAAGAGCAAATACCGGGGCTGGCATAAGCTTTACTCGCAAGAAGTCCCCGGGAAGAGCTGGTGCAGCAGAAGAGACTTTCTACACCTTACTCTTGTATAAAGGATGGAGAAGGCTTCAAACCCCAGCCTCTGTACCAACCTGCAATGCACCAGAACAGGCCCTGCATTTGGGATGCTCTCCTGCTTGTTGTTTATTTGGTCGAGGAAGCTGAGCACTCCTCCTGGCTCGCTGGGCACGCCGTGGTCAGGCCAGCTCAGGTACTGGTAGTGCCAGATCTCACGCACAGCCTTGCTCTGATAAATGACAAAAACACCCTGCTGGTAAAACTGCCACCCAGTCCTACCCCTCAGCCTCTGCCCCGTGGGGAGGTGGGTC